CAAAATTTTTGGCTCAATCAATCAAGACATACTTTTTGTTCATTTATTTTTGTTTATATCATGGATCGTTTACGTATGTTAATAGAGAATATTGTTGTTGTTGTCATCTTGAAAATAGCCAATATATTGTGGCCAAATGAAAACGAAAATTTAAATATATCTTATATTATTGAATCCGGATTAGGATTAGTTCAATATTATGCTCTTCGAATTCAATATTCATTTGAAGAATNAAAATTTGTTCAGGATTGTAATCGATACATTCGGTTAGTATTGTTGCCCGGAAGACAAAATTTTTTTTTTCACATTAAATAAACTTTTGTTGGATTTTTTTTTCTAGATATTATCTCATTATAAATAGGAGAATTACATCATCAAATAACTTGAGGATAATTTTGAATATAGTTTTTAGCTGATGATTTTTGAATAATTTCGCAAAATTTTTCTCCGGAAAAATCATTATTGGAATCATTTACAAAAAAAATTTATTTTAAAATTTTATTCTGTTCAATTTTTTCGAAATTAGGAACAAAAGAAAAAGAAATTCTAGTATACTCCAGTTGATAACGTGCTTTAAAATGATGGCGTGCAAACCACAAAAAATGGCGTCATTTATTAACTTTTTTTTCTCAATGAATAACAATCAAAATATTTTTCTCTGAAATTCTTTCTTAGCAACAATAATTGTTGATCGATTGAATCATTATATTGTGTCATTAATAATTATTGGAAATTATTTTGAATGAATTTCAATATCTATGGTAGAAAAAAATAAAAAAGTTGGATTTTTTGTGAGGAGATTTTTTGTAAGGTGATTTTCTAAAGGTGAAATCAATAGCATTTCTTAATTTTGACTCAATCAAGCACGACATACTTTTTATTTATTTCATGGATCGTTTACGTTTGTTAATACGGAATTTTGTTGTCATTGTTAATCTGAAAATAACCGATAAATTCTGGTCGAATGAAAATTTAAATACATTTAACATCTTAGATTCCGGATTCGAATCGGTTCAATATTTGGCTTTACGTATTCAATATACATGGGACGAATATCAACAGCACCGAATACCAAGAACATTTAAAAGACTTCGTAAAGCCATTTTAATTTTTTCAAATGGATGTTGGACAGTCATTTTTCTGGTAATATTTGTGTGTACTGAAGAAAGTTCATTGTGGATAAGTACAAAATATTTAGAAAAAATTATTGATTGTGAACGATTAGACCTATTAATTATTTCGGTTATTATTCTAATAATAATTGGTGAATGGACATTATTCATAGTGTTTATTCAAATACTCAACTATAGATTTTCAATACAAAAAGTACTATATAAAAATTTAAGTTTCGACGATGGACGACTTTCAACAAATAATCGTCGTTATCTAATGATCTATTATCTTTTCATAAAGATTGCTGCCTATGGATTTGCAGGTGGTGTTATAATTGGTATTGCTTTCACATATGTGATGGAAATTTATTTTCTTACCCAATCATATTTGAATAACCAGATAACAGTTTTACAACTAGTATTCTCTATGGTTATTTTTATTCAAATAATACTACACGTTTCGATACTCATTATACTTGCATTAATTGCTACATTCGCAGTTGGTTATTGTCTTGAATTTTTTAAAGTAAGAATGAAACAATTGCATTCATTTTTGAAACAAGATGAATCATCTAAGCATATTCCAAAGATGAAATATTCTTGGAATTGTATACAAAGAGAATATGTTGAACTTTATGATGAAACAGCTTCAATAAATAAAACATTAAGTTTTGCATTATACAGTTTGGATACAATTTCAAAAATCATATCCATCACATCATGTGTGTTTTATAGTCGTCAAATCAAGATGAATGCGACAAATGCACTAGCATTGTTGGGAATGATGTTAGTATTTATTTATACATCCGCATTATATACACGTTTAGTGTATCCACCAAAATACAATCATCATTATTGTAAATTATTATTGAATCGTTTGGCTAGAAATTCAACAGCAAAGAATCGTATTTTCAAACAAAATAATCGAGTAACAAAAATTATTGTCAAATCAAATCTATTCATTCAGATAATGAACAACAATCAATTTGGTTTTCATTGTGGTCAGATATTTTTTATAACAAAATTTCAAGTTGTCGAATTGTTCATGATGAATGTACCATTGATTATGCTGTTTTATAAAAAAATTTGCATGCAATAACGTTATCAATAAGTTTGACCCAATAACATTATAAATCTCAAATATTCCGCACAATTATAATCACACTATTTAGTGTTATAACGAAAATATTTAAAATGATGTATAATCTCATTATAAATAAGAATTTTATCATTAAATAACAGTTGATTTCAACTATGAATTATTTTTAAATTTTTCTCATTTTATCCTAGAAAATCATAATTGTAATCATTTCAGAATTTGTTTTCAAATTTTTGAATAACAGATCGAATTCTCATCGATCAATATAAACATTTTTTAGCATTACTAATTGTTCATCGAAGAAATATTGGCATTTTCAAAAGTTTCAAATAATCTTACATAAATTTGTATTTTTTATTTGATTTGGAATTAATGGAAATTTTTTTTTGAATAAATTGCAGTTTTTAAATCATAATTGACGTTATTGTGAGATAATTTTCAAAGGAGATATCGATAACATTCAAAATTTTCAGTTCGAATAAGCAAGACTTAATTTTCGTAGAAAATCATGGATCGTTTACGTATGTTAATAGAGAATATTGTTGTTGTTGTCATCTTGAAAATAGCCGATATATTCTGGCCGAAAGAAAATTTGAATACATTTAACATCTTAGATACTGGATTTGGATTGGTTCAATATTTTGCTATACGTATTCAATATACGTGGGACGAATACCAACAGCACCGAATACCGAGAACATTTAAAAGACTTCGTAAATACGTTTTGATGTTTTCAAATGGATGTTGGACCGTAATATTTCTTTTGATATATATTTGTACTGAAGAAAGTTCATTGTGGATCAGTCCAAAACATTTAGAAAAAATTATTGATTGTGAACGATTAGATCTTTTAGTCATTTCTATAATCATTTTAATAATAATATGTGAATGGACATTATCCATATTTTTTATTCAAATACTCACATATCGATTATCAATACAAAAAGCACTCTATAAAAATTTGAATTTCGACGATGGACGACTTTCAACAAATAATCGTCGTTTTATAATAATCTATTATCTATTCATAAAGATTGCAGCCTATGGATTTGCAGGTGGTGTTATAATTGGTGTCATTTTTGCGTATATGATGGAGATTTACTTCCTTACTGGATCATATTTTGATAAACAGATAACATCATTACAACTAATATTCGCAACGTTTATTTTTTCTCCAATAATGATACATGTTTTCATCATCATTGTTCTATTATTGGTTGCTACATTTACAATCGGTTGGTTTCTCGAGTTTTTTAAAGTAAGAATGAAACAATTTTATACATTTTTAAAGCAAGATGAAGCGTCTAAGTATATACCGAAAATGAAATATTCTTGGAATTGTATTCAAAGAGAATATGTTGAACTTTATGATGAAACAGCATCAATAAATAAAACATTAAGTTTAGCATTATACAGTTTGGATACAGCGTCAAAAATTTTATCCATCACATCATGTGTGTTTTATAGTCGTCAAACCAAGATGAATGCGACAAGTACGTTGGCATTGTTGGGAATGATGTTGGCATTTATTTATACATCTGTATTATATACACGTTTAGTATATCCACCAAAATATAATCGTCTTTATTGCAAATTATTATTAAATCTCTTGGCTAGAAATTCAACAACAAAGAATCGTATTTTCAAACAAAATAATCGGGTAACCAAAACTACTGTCAAATCAAATCTATTCATTCAGATAATGAACAATAATCAATTTGGTTTTCATTGTGGTCAGATATTTTTCATAACAAAATTTCAAGTTGTTGAATTGTTCATGATGAATCTGCCATTGATTACATTGTTTTATAAAAAAATTTGCATGCAATAATAAAAAATGTTTAATTTTAGGAATTTGAAAAAAACACACACACACTCATGCCTAATAATTACTAAACATTCTCAATTTTCATTCTTCATCAAACGATGATTTCGTAATAAATTCTTGATTACTATTTATATTGTGACTTTTTTTTCTTGAAAAAAATGACTGCAAAATAATCATTAAAAAACAATTTTCTAGACATTTTTCATTATTGATTGAATTTTCATTAAAATTTTGAAAAATTTCTTATGTAGAAGTAGTATTAATTTCAAGCCAACAAAACAATTTAAACGGAAATTTTTTTCAAAAGAATTTAGTTCCAATTTTTGATCTTCTTGATCAATCATATGAAAAAAAACATCAAATGATTAGAATATTTGAAATTCTTATCTTGTTCGTATCTGCAAGTGGGATTGCTGTATACAAAATGTGGTCAACAATTCGATCACAATTATCTTCAATAACCAAACGTCAGAATAATATCAATGATATAATGAAACGTGGTTTTATATTGATAAAAATTTTCAGTGCAAGATTATTATATTCACTTGATGATTATGAACATAGAAAAATATCAAGAAATTATCGTTCATTAAAATTAACTATTTGGATTACTGTGAATGCTTGGGCATCACTTTTAACATATTATTTGGTCATTTTTTGTAATGATAATAATGTATTGATTAGCCTAAAATATTTAGAATTGATTTCAAATGCACAAAGATTGGATCTTCTTTTCATAGCAATCATGATCATATTTATCATTATGGAATTAATGTGGTTTGAATTATTTTATAGAATATTCTTCTATCAATCACCATTGAATGATTTTCTTATTGTTTGTTTTCAATATAATGAACAAAAATTACTACAAAAATATCGAAAATTTCTTATTGATTTTTATTATGTTTCAAATTTTGTTGGCATTATTATCTATTCAATGTCTATTTTAATAATTTCACTAATGTCATCCATTTATACTTATTATTTGCTTGATATTTATATTGATGCAAAAATTAATACTATTCAAGCGATTGTTACTTCGATCATTTTCATTCCAGTATTTTTGCATACTGTTTACATTCTTGGACAAATATTTTTGTCCATAAATTTTCTAGTTTTTCTTATTGAATTTCTAACAAAACGTTTCAAACAATTAGCTGACATTACAAATGTTATAAATTTATCATTCATTAACCGACTAGAATATGGAATAATTATGTTCAATCGTTTTCGTCGTGATTATGTACAATTATTTAAAGAAACAAAACATTTCAATGGAACAGTTAGTTTTGTATTATTATATATAGAAATAGGTTCAAAAGCATGGGCAATAATATTCTGTTTATTTCATAGTCAACAAATTCGAATGAATTTTATTATTATAATTAGTGGATTTACATTAATTTCATTGTTTTTCTTCATAATTGGTTTCTATTCACGTTTGGCTAAAATGCCATCAATCAATCAATTTTGTTATCGACGATTAGCATTTTGGATAGCACGACGATCAAAATATCGTTTGAAACCAAAATATTATTGCACTTATCAACAAAATTCAATACGTATTGATATGATCAAATTGAATTTATATCTACAAACAATTGCAAATAATCGTTTTGGTTTCACTTGTGGTCAATTGTTTTTCATTACTAAATTCAAATATATGGAATTATTTTTGTTAAACATTCCTATCATTATGTTATTTTATCGAAAAATCTGTATGATGGAATAGAGTTTATCCATTATTATGGTTAATATCAACAAACAGATTTCATAATTATCCATAAATCAAACCGTCATTCAAACTTTATTCATTTATCTGATTAACAAGAGTTCAAGGTACCCGTTTTTCCGCAACCCTTTTATACATTTTATTCATTATTACCTGTTTTTTTTTTGCAGTTGATTTAACCAGTTTTGTTTCCTACGCAAAGAACAACACACAGGCAATCAAATTGGCTAATTCATTTCATCAATGGCATAATGGCTAACGGACTGATGATTCATAAAATAATATCAATAATGATCTGCCATTATTTCAATCTTAAAAATGATCTGTACGTTTCATTCATTTCCTGATAACATTAATTATACTATAACTAATATAATGATTATAATAATAATAATAAATTTGTTTGATGAATAAATCCAGTTTTTTTTGTTTGAACAGATTCACAGTTCACAATCATAATTTACCGGTGTTTATCTTTTCCAGATTGAAGGCCGTCGCCCATCATTATTTATTTAATTTTTTTTTCTCAAAAATTTTCATCCATATAAGTTTATGAAAGAAAAATTATAACATCTTTTCCGCTTGTACATAATTCAAACAACGAGATTTTCAAAATAAAAAAATTAAATTTTCAACTTTTAAACTTTTTATTGAAAAAATAATGATAGTATAGATTAATTCATTCAACAACAAAAATGACATCCAAATATCTTTATTTCAAATTTTTTTTAAATTGGTTTACGATCGAACACCCGTTTCTTATTAGATTTTATCATCAAAAATTTCAATAATTAATTTTACATTTTTTTGTGTGGTGGTGTTCTTATCAAAGTTGAAAAATCATTAATTTTCGATTCAATAAATGTTTAATATTCATTTCACGCTTATTAGATTTTCCTAATTCGGAATCAAATCGAAAGTATGTTCTCACTCTCTCTTTCATTATCTATCTCTTTTTTTCTGGTGGCAATATTAATTTAAGATGTTGGATTTATTGTCGTCTATCAATAGATTCGATATGGGAGCAATATGATACAATGTAACTGAAATTTCCGTCAAGTTTTCTAATAATATTATCATTATAATCGAATTAACATTCATCAAACAATGATCAATCGTTTGTTTTTTTGGTTGTTGTTGTTGTTTTGTTATGAAAAAAGCAAAGAAAATGAATCTAAGTTGTTACAAAATCGGATTTAATTCACATAAAATCTTTTTGGCTTAGTTTTTTTTGTTTTCAGCTTTATATATCCTATGTATGCTTAGGAAAAAAAACAAAATTTATTTCGTTTCAAAAGGATTATAGACCAGGTTATAAAGCCAAAATGTTTCGAAAATCTTGAATGGATCCTGGATCAGGAAAGAAAGGATGTGATTTTTTTTTCTGGTGTGAATAAGTGAAATAAAAAATAAAATCACGAGTAAATAACGAAAACAAGATGTGAATGAGAGATTTAAATCATTCGTCAATTTGTCACCTTCTATTTTTTTCACATTTTCACCTGTTCTATTTTGGGTGTGAATCATAAAATTCACAGGTTTTTTACGATCATCATCCTTTTGATGGATTTGAATTAAAAAATTTTTTTCTTTAAATTCAAAATGTTGATTTTTTCATTTTCAAGCAAAATCCAAAAACCAAAACTTTATCCTACACCTACATTCAAAAAAAATGTTGAACATTTTTTTTCGATTTTTTAGTCCAAATCGATCTCTGTTGTATTTTTGCATTTCTTCACCGTTCGTTGTTGTATGATGAGCCTGAGAAAATTTGTTTTTTTTTTCAAAAAAAAGAGCTCATTAAAATGATTTTATTTTAAAAAACATTCTTTTTGATTCCTTCCTTGTTTTGTTTTTCAAAAAAAAAACATCATTCAAAACAAAATCCATTTGGTATTTTTTTTTTATTTGGTTTGATTGGTTTGCCAGTTTTTTTAAAATTTCCATTTTGTTGTTTATTTATGTTGTTCAATTTTAAAGATAACTAATTTACATTTTGTTTATCTTCATCAGAACAGAACAGAACAAAAAAAAAATACCAACTTTTAAATTTGAATTTTTAGCCATTATTATTATGTTTTTTACACCATTAAAATCTTAATTATTAGGGATGTTTGTCATCGATTTATCAACAAAAAATCATGACTTTTTTGAAAAAAAAGAAATATATTTCCGTTACAAATCATTAATCATCTGATTGATTGATCAGTTCGGACAAGTTGCATAGATTTATCGATTTCTTCAATTGCCTACGGAAAATATTTGTGGCTTTTTTATTTGAAACAAAAATTTTAAAAATTTTTCAAAAAAATTAAAGTCTGTTATTAAAAACATACAGAACGATATACGATTCTCAAATCATCAGCAAAAAACTGTTATTTCTTGAATCTAATTATCATTTTGAAAGTATTTTGTTTTTCTGTTTCAATCGAATACTTTCTTATTAATCATTTTCGTATGTGTTGGTATTTATAATTAATTTTTTTGTTGTTGTTGTTTTGTTTCTTTCGATATGATCTTTGTTGTTGTTGTTGTTAATGTTTACACCGTTTGTGGACGAAAAGTTGCAGAATGATTCAATAAATGATAAATGTATAACTAATCAATCAATTATTGTAATCGACAATAATTGATTTTGTTTTTGTTTTTTTTGAAAACACATCCAATCAATGATAATAATTGAATTAAATTCATAATCGATAATCAATCAGTTAAATTGTTTATCAATTTATTATCCTCAACGATTGATTTTCAATGATTGAATGATGAACACGATTTTTTTTTTGTATAAAAATTACTACCGTTTGAATTTTTTTTTCAATTTAATTTGAAATTTCATTTTTTTACAAAAAAATAAAAAACTATACACTTTTGTATCATCATCTTTGTCGAATGATAATAATTCTACAATGATAAAATGTTCGTGCAGGAAAACAACTCAACAAACAATTACAATAAACGCCTTAAAGGTTTTGTAAAAGAAAAATGAAAAAAAAATATGTATTTGAAATTGAAATGAATATTATTATTATCATTCGATATTTATTTGTTTCAAATTGATTTCAAATGAAAAGAAAAAAATATCAATTTTCAAATTTTGAATTAAACATTTCACAACAACACAATTATTAGCCGGAAATTTTTCAAAACTTTTTCAAATCATTAATTTTAATTAATAATTTTTTGTTTTTTTTTCATTTCAATTCATCATTTCGACTAACACTTTCTTCTCGGATCCGGATATCAATCATTTTACTATGATAACTCTTTTATTACCTAAATACTAAATATATTCATCATCATTTTGTTGCAGAGATGATAAATTTAGATTGAAGAAAGATTTCATTTTCATTTTTTTTTTTTTTGGTTGCTTTAAGACATTTTTTTTTTTTTTTTTTAGATAAAATTTATCCATCGTAAATCCNATGATAACTCTTTTATTACCTAAATACTAAATATATTCATCATCATTTTGTTGCAGAGATGATAAATTTAGATTGAAGAAAGATTTTATTTTTATTTTTTTTTTTTTTTTGGTTGCTTTAAGACATTTTTCTTTATTTTATTTAGATAAAATTTATCCATCGTAAATCAGCTGCTTGCGAAAATTCCCAAATCAAAAGTTTTTATTGTTGATGTTATCATAAAATATCCGGTGCAACAAAGCATCGTATGAATTCGTTTGATATTATTATCATCTATTTTATTTTGGTTTGTCTGGCCAGAAATACAACCAGAAAATGTAACCGAACTTATTTATAATTATAATAACAATGAAAAAATGGTCATACTTTCATTCATACAAGAACTTACGATGATGTTGACCTGGTAACCAGAAAATTTGCTAACTTCCTGGTTTCTTGTTTTCATCATCGAAAAAAAATAAACAATTTTCAATCTAATCAAATTGGTACGGGTGTTTTACTTTTATTACAGGATTTATTCGCATGAAAAAAACGAATCTTTATGTGTGTAAAAAGAGATGACCAAAACGAATTTATGGACATGTGTTTCAATCATTAAATGATCGTTGTCATAACATCCATATCGAATAACTTGTTGTATAACAACATCTGTGTATGAGTCGATTATGTACATGATGATAATGATGAATACTTTTTGTGTGAAAAAAATTGAAACTTTCTTCTTTTTGATTTGAATATTTGGCCAATCAAAATTCTATTTCATTCGAATGAAAACCGCAAGAAAGAAAATGAAACAGAAAGGATTAATAATGAAAATTGACTAATTAATATTTGCAACAAACAAAAAAAAAATCATTATCGCCAAATCAAAAAAGAAATAATGATTGATAATAATGAAAATTACAAATTATTCAATGAATCAATTGTTTGGACAACAATAAAATTGATCCAAAAAAAACTGACTAAATGACTTTATTATGTTTGTTAATAAATAATTACAAACATAATGGACAGATATTATGTCAGTTTTTTTATTATTAAAATCGAGATAAATTTATTGGATTTTTAGTTTTGTTTTTTTCGATTCTGTTGTTGTCTGTCTGACTGTCTGTGTGATCCAAATCATTGATTAATTGTTCATTGATTTATTAAATGTAGCACATAATTTTTCATAATAATAATAATGATGATGATGACAATAGATCTGATTGATAAAACAAAAAAAATATTCAGTGTTTTTTGTGTTTGCCAAAATTTCATCCCGAATATATTATTCAAAATGTAATACTTTTTACAAGTTGATTAATATGTCTTCGAATGTTGTAATGTCGACAAATTGATTGGCCTCCAATAAGATTAACGGGATAATTTCCATCCAAAAAAAAAGGAAAAAAAGATGAAAAATCGTTGTTGTCTGTTTTACATCCATTTTGTTTATGTTTCCTTGTTGTTGTTGTTGTTGTTGAAAGCGAAACAAAAATGGGGAGAAAAAACATTTACACAATTTTCATTTTTTCGTTTGTTTATTTGGCTATTTCTTTTTGTATGATCATTTTGATCTTAGCAAATTTGATTTGCTTTTTGCTTGTTTTCAATGTTTGAAGCAATGAAGAATAAATTGATCCATTGTAAACAGAATCGATTTTGTTTTCTTCTTCAACTGAAACTTGATATGCAAATAATAATTTTCTGTTTTGTTTTGTTGAATTTCAAATGAAAAAAAAAGTCTAGCACAATTTATTTGGGTCGATGAGAATTTCATTTAACATAAAACGATTAATATTGAAATTGTAATCATCAAATCAAGTGAAAAGTTGATTGTTTTTTGTTCAATTAGAAAACAATGGTCATTTATGATAATTGTTAATCCAAATTGGATAACCACAACAATTAAGATCAATACAACAAATCGAATCAGTAATTTAAATATAACTAACCATTGTCAAGGTTTTGTTCAACAATTAAATGATTGTTTTGTACATTCCAGATCGATTTATCAATTCTCTAGATCATATTTTCGAAAAACATTATTGTTACTGTTGTTGATGATAGTGATGTTTGTTTTGAAATAGTTTCTTTTTATTCAAATCAAATCAAAATGAAATAAAAACATTCAGAAATCTATCACAGATTATCCGTTCATAAGTTTATTTAATCTCTAATGAATGTTATAGCAAAAATCTTATATCGCATATTGAAAACATAAAATTAAATTCAAAATCATATTGTTTGATCAGTAATAAAAAAAATGAAAATGAAAATCCGTTTGTAAATAAATGAGTATAAACTTTTTTTTGGGGGGAAGATTTTCACAAGTAAAAGTTTTATGTAATGTATGAAATTCAATTTATTTTTTAGGACATTTCTCTTATATGACCATGATATAATTACATTAAAATATCATGCATCAAAAAAAATGACCAATATCTTGATTTTTTTTAAAGGATTTAATCGTAATCAATGTTAACACTTTAATCTTAAATCACTATTTATTAGTAAATATTTGATTGAGACTATATTGGCCATTATCATTATCTTCAATTTACTTTTGAAATTATCCACGAAAAAAAGTGTTGATGCGGTCGTCATATTATTTTTTTCTTCTTCT